GGTGGCTCGCACCTGTAATCCCAGCACTTTGGGAGGCCATGGCAGGCAGATGACTTGAGCCCAGGAGTTTGAGACCAGCTCGGGCAACATGTTGAAACCCCATCTCTACAAAAAATGCAAAACATTAACGGGACATGGTGGTATGCACCTATGGTCCCAGCTACCAGGGAGGCTGAGATAGGTGTATCACATGAGCCAGGAAGTCAATGCTGCAGTGAGATGAAACCATGCCACTGCACTCCGACCTGGGCAACAGAGACCCTGTCTCAACGTTTTAAAAAAATGTTTAAAAAGTTTAAAAAAAAAAAAATAGGTATTCTTTAGAGTCTATTTGAATCCTATCTTTGCTTTAACGCTTTTTTCACAAATGTTTAATCCATGAAACATTATCTTGGCCATAGTTTTGGCTTTGTTTTCTGCACAGTTTACCACCATCATAAAAGTAGTTCTTTCCCCATTTTAACAGTTTCTGCCTTGACTTCTCCTAATTTATGATACATGCCAACCCTTTTTATTTTTTTGAGACAGAGTTTTGTTCTTGTTACCCAGGCTGGAGGGAGTTTCATTCGTGTTGCCCAGGCTGGAGTCCAATGGCACAATCTCCACTCACCGCAACCTCCGCCTCCTGAGTTCATACGATTCTCCCACCTCAGCCTTCCCAGTAACTGGGATTATAGGCATGTACCACCATGCCTGGCTAATTTTGTATTTTTAGTAAAAAAAGGGTTTCTTCATGTTGGTCAGGCTGTTCTCACCTACCTTAGGTGATGTGCCCACCTCGGCCTCCCAGAGTGCTGGGATTATAGGTGTGAGCCACTGCTCCCAGCTTCATTTTACTTTATAATTGGAGTTTTAAGCTTTTGTCTTCTATAGTAACTTAAGATACAGAAATATAACCATAACAGGCCCATTGCACATTGTGTGTGACAAGTCAGTATGCCAAGACCCTGGGTTGCAGCAAAAAGGTTTAATTGCAGGGCCACTGAATGAGGAGACTGGAGAAAACTTCAAATCTGTCTCCCTGAGGATTTAGGAAGTAGGCCAAGATGCAGCCTGTTTAATGCCTAGTTACAACTATTTCTGTCCAGGACCCAGCATGCAATTCTTATAAGTCCTGTGAGGGCAGTCTCAGAACTTGTTCTTCTGGTGTTTGCCTTTATTTAGCAGATATATATATATATATATATATATATATATATATATACATGTTACCGATATTTCACCATGTAAAGGCCAAGGGGAACCAGGAGCTGGGGTAAAATACCAAAAAAAAAAAAAAAAAGAAACTCAAAGCATTTTAGAATACTTCACTGAAGGTAAGTAGTGCATCCAAAGGTCAGTGATCTGGAAAACATTTGAAAGGTGCTCTTACAATTCTTGGAAAAAAATGGAAAAGAAGAGAGAAAAAATAGAGAACCAGCCAGTAAATAATATTTCTGTTAAGAGACAAGGTCTCCCTCTGTTCCACAGGCTGGAGTACAGTGGCAGGATCATAGTTTCCTGGAACCTTGAAGTTCCCCTGAAAAATCAGTTTGCAAAAGGCAGATTAGTTGCAGAAAAGGAATGTATGTTTATTTGATGTGTATACATGGGGGCCTTCAGATGAAGAT